AAATGACGTAATAAATAAAAAAGGGGTGTAATGTTATCCCAGTTAATGAGAATTTGACGAAATTAAAACAAAATCATATTATTCTGTATCAATCTTTGTTACGGTATAAAATTTCTCAAAATACATCTCCTTGTACAGTCATTCAAGTCACTAAATCACCTGTTATGAATTTTCTGTTGTTTTTTTCCATACCAACTTTGAGATATATTGTTGATAAAATTAATAATGAACATAAAAGATAGTATCATTAGCGAAATATATATATATATATATATACATCAAAGCAACATAAATTACATAAATATCCCATGAGAAATCATATAAACGTTGAGAAAACAAATGTATTGTGCAATAAATCTAAATTATTGTTCAATATTCATTTGTTTTAAACAATATTCATTATTTTTTCTGAATCATTTGCATTCAATCAAAAATTAAATAAAATTTAATGATTGATGAGTGAAGTCCCTTTTTTTATTTATTTTATGTATCTATTTTACCAATGATTAACTTGATTTTTTTATATAAAAAAATTTTTTTAAATAAAAAAGATAATTTTATTATATTTGTGATGTAATTAAATTAAAATTTGCTTTTATATTATTACTTGTTATGAAATAATGTAAAAATCAGTTAAAATTACAGTAACCATTGATTGTTCTATTATCTAAAGGATTACAATCAAGTTCATAAAGTCTATGATAATACGTTACACAATGATACATGAACTTTTATTATTAATCACTGATCGTGTTGAATTCATACTTTTATTAATCTCATACATGGTAAATATAGTTAGAAGAATATCAAAAATTATGTAAACTGATATAATCTGCTGAAAACTGATTGTTTGTAGGAATGTTTTACAAAATCAAAGATAATTTCAATAGTTGGAAGCGTGAGTCAATTGAACTTAGGCCATCATGGAAAACCTGTGAGCACTGGATGGCTATTTCGTCCTAATATGGGACTCCTCAGCAGTGTGTATCCACGATAAGCGAGATTCAAACCCAGCACTTATCAGTCTCGCGAGCGAGTGTTTAACCACTAGAACACTTACCCGGCGTCCAATGGTGTTAATGTCTAACTTCAACCAATCCACGAGACTGATAGGTCCTGGGTTAAAATCTCGCGGGGGGCGAGATCGTGGATGCGCTGTTCTGAGGAGTCACATATTAGGACGAAACTACCGTTCAGTGCTTTCAGGTTATACATGGTAGTCTAGCTTCAATTGACTCATGGTTTTAACTATTGAAATTTTTAAAAAATCTCCACAAACCCCTTTCTCAAAGTTAATTCTTAACAGATTTATCTCACTTATTATGTCTTTTTCTTGATTTTTACTCAAGTAGTCTTTTGTATGTAATGTAAAAAAGTAGAAGGGCACTCCATTGAGGATTCATTATTTCTAAAGTATATCTAATATTATTATGTTATTTTTTAATAAAAATACGTTCTGCATTAATTTTCATCTTTTATTTTTTCATACTTATAATGATAGTCAAATGTAAACAGTCTCGAAAAAACTACACATGTTTTCGTAGAATAATAACAATTACATCTAATAAGATATTCGTAGCTTTTGTGTTTCATCAGTACAACTTTTTATCTGTACTTAGGGAATATTATTGTTCTGTCACCTTTTATGCACTATTATTGTATATTTGCAGACAAAGGAAATGGCTTTTTATTTCATCTGATTATCAAAAATGATGATCTGCAATAAGTTTCATCAAATGCATTATTTGATTTTCAAAATAACTTTAACAAACGTAGAATGTATTCTCTATAGGTTCCTTCATTTGATTTCATTTACGCTAAATAATTGTAAAACAACATTTTAATGCTTTATTTGTTCGTATTATTAATACTATTATTCAGTTATCTGATGTCTATTTACCGATGAAAACTAGAATATAAATATATACGTATTGTACTCACTTTGAGACATGAACTTACTAGATTGTATGTAATGTCATGAATAAACACTGTTTGGAAGTCCCAAAGAGAGATAAAAATAATTAATAAACCCATTCGGACTTTCGATTTTTTTCCCAACCTATATTAGTCCCCAATAATAAATCCCATCATAACAGAATAATTGAAAAATTATATAATAATAATTTATTACTTGATAATATTTATACCAAATAGAAACACTAAAATCTTTAAAATTCTATTAGAGAGATAGTGGGAAGTTTACGTTACCAAATACACTTTTGTTTTTTTGTTTGTTTTTTCGTTCCCTTTTTGAAAAAAATTTCTCTCAAGTAAACACTTCCCTCCAAATTACTTTCCATTTATTTCTCGCAGTAAATGTGATTTAATCTGTTTTCTATGATTATTTGTCGCTCATTTATTTTTAGAATAGAAATAATAAGCAAGAAATTTGGAAAATAAATAGTTGTAAATAATCTTCCTAGTTTTTGAAATTATTTTATTTTCTACCTTTTAGTAAGTAAATCAGAAATTCTTTTTTTCTTTCTTTTCCTTGGGAAATTATTATTTGGATATTATATTTCTATTATTGTAATCATTTGAATATTGACAAATCTACCTATAAGTGATTTATATGTTTACAAACTCTATTATTTTATCTGACCCATCTATTCATTTATCAATTGTCTTTGAAAAAAAAGAGTGAATAAAGAAATGAAACAAACAATTTATTGACAACTGAATAATGATTTATGCACCGTGTTATTATCGTTATTATTATTATTTGGTTACAAACTACCCCCACCCTCTTTTTTTAAAAAAAGAGGAAGATTATAAAAATACAAAGTGAAACATTGGTTAGTAATTATAAATGCCTCTATCTAATGAATTTATCTAATAATATTTTGAAAAAATATTATGTATTGTAATATTTGTATTGTCCATTTGTCTAAAAAATCAATAGAAACTCAATTCAAACCTATGACCAATGTGGTAAACAAACTCTTGGTGAAAAAAATACATTATTAATAAAGTTGATATTAGTAAGTATACATACATTATGTGGTTGGATCGTTTTGTTTTGATTAGGCTTTTCGTGTTATATGATAAACAGACACGAGACATATATATATATATATATATATATATATATATATATATAATTTAAACGGGCGTATTAGTCGACAGAATTATTTCATATTATCATGATTTATATAGTCGAATCATGATAAAATTTGGAGACAAATTAAATATGCTACTTAAATCCTTTAAATATATTGTTCATGAAGTTTGTATGACAGTTCATCAAATATAACAACCAGATGTATATTCTGTTTTAACTGAAGTAATACAGTATGGCATGTTAAATTGATTTATTAATTAGGGCGAAATAAATTGTTTACGTTAAAACTTCGAGGATTATGACCATTGCAAACTTGTATATGTATTTTAAACAATTTAGTTTGAAACATTGAACGAAACAAGTAATATTAAATACAAATAAATTTCAGTATTTAAAATATATTTATAAATTACAAGTATCATATCCATTTAGAAAATGTTGAGTATTACACATAGTTTCTAATTATGTTCATTTATGAATCACACTTTCATTGATTTAAATGTTCATCTTAAGGAATGTTTTTGAAGTACCTGAAAAAAAACATTCTGAGCCAATATGAATCCGAAGTAAATAATTAAAATTTTTCAATTGTAGTAAATGGCATTACTATTTCAATGTCAGTGAACTAATTTCATTTCTGTGACGAAAGTTCTGAAATTTAGTCATCTTGAACCAGTAAATTAAAAGCATACTATAATATGAGTTAGGAGTGATGATCACCTCTGGAATACACTTGTTTAATGAAAAAAAGAACTAGCAAATACAACACTACATTAATAAATATGAAGTACAACCTTTGGGATATTATTTACTGGTGATTCGAGATCCAAATCTAAGGTCATAACATGCCACAATTCATCGGATTTCATTTTATCCTAACGTTCTTATCCAAGTGTTATATCGTATTGAATATTAAATTACAAGTAACTTTTGAGAACTAATAAGGGACTAATATTATATATATATATATATATATATATATATATATATATATATATATATATAACTGTTCAGTAATTAGATTATGTATATCTACATTCAGTTTACTATTCAGTTAATTTCCATTTACTGTTTGGCAAGTTATCTGTACTCTTCACAGTTTAGTTTAATTAGCCAAATTAACAAAGCTTGTGATGAACAATTTATTAACCCTCTGAGCTTTTCTAATTTGTTTAGTTCTTAACTCGAATCCGGGTAACTTGTTAAATGTTAATCTTTAGCGATGGTAACCTATCTAGATAAGTTTGGATAAATAACATTTAACTTATCACAAAGCATTCTTAATTATTCTAATTTATACAACCCATGAAGTAAGACATCTGTCTTGATATCAAATATTTTTTATCTACTTTCATCTAAACAATGGAAAATAAAGTCTGACACTTCCTTTTAGTTAACAGTCTAAACTATTCTCTATTTGATAACAAAAACTTCTAATCAGGAAGAAACAGCATCTGTAAGAAAATCAAATTCTTAGTGATCCTTTGACTGTTGTTATTCCGCATTCAATTACATTTCAGTGAATTTCACATAAATGTGAAATAAAGAATCTTAAATGTTTAGTCAACGGAAAAACTTATATGACCATAAGTGCTTATTTCGTTACTGTCATCAGATTAATGAAACATAAAATTTATAAATTGTCTTATTTAAGTGAAATGAAACCACTCTACCTGATATTTGAGTGCTTGAATGTATCAGCTTTTAAGCATCTCCTGCTTAAAGAGGAACAACTTTTTTTTATGAATCTTGGTCTATCATAATGTATTGAACTATTTCAGCTCATAGTAGCTGATTAGAGGATCAGCATATTTGTTTACAACTTTGGCTTTATAGATTTAAATGTTTGGTTGCTAGCTAGATTCCTAGTTTCATAACTGTATGAATACAGATCACCTGTTAATAACATGAATAAAGTCCTTTTTTTCTTTTTTTAAAGTTCCAATATCATCTTCAACCTTGACTACTATTTGATCTGCATTTAATCTCACATGTTCGGTGTGTGTTAGGAAAGATAAATCAGTCAATATAACAGTAGACTGGTTCCGACTAACTTATTTAATCGAAACATCTTCAAGTCGACCTATGATATTAGTTCATCTAGAAGGACTAAACAACATTTTATCTATGCAATCAGATTTAAACTCACACAATTCAAAGTACAACAACATCAGTAATATAGTTGGTGAACTTGCTCATTCGTTTCAACAAATCACCAGCAGATCATCAGTCGGAATAACCATTTATAAACAAGTTACCGGTGAATTAAATTATAACTATCGTAGTGAAGTACTTCTTACTGTACAGTCAGCCAGAGAAAATGATGGTGGTATTTATGAATGTAGAGTATATGAAGCAGCAAATTATGGGCAAGAAAAAATCATAGACAGGGCATTTTTAGATATTATCAGTAAGTCAATTGTTTATATATTATTTAGCCTTATTTAGGTTGTTTTTTAGATATATAACCATACATATTCAAGTTGTAACTTTTTAAAATCATGTCCAAAGTGATATTTTTTCATATGAAGTATGAACATGAAAGATATGTTCAACTGAGGAAGTTAGGTTGGGTAGCTTACTTAACGACAATATGATTATTTACCTATTTACAACATATATTCCCTCCCTATATATAATTATGTTACATCTCTCGTTAGCTAATACGTAAATTTTATGCTTTATCTGTGTAATTAAACTATATATGTTGTACAGTGAACATTTTAGAACGTTTTTAACTATTACTTAACATTCATTTCTCTTTTCAAAACAAAATATATCCACCTTACTTTCTCCACTAATGTAATTAACTTTGCTCAAAACATTGTGATTATTTATTTGGTGACAAAAGGAATAATTACATCTCAAAACTAATTACCAAAGACAACATTAGCTTTTGTTGATGTTAATCTCTTTGATAAAACATGTATATTGGCTAATTTAATCCTCTGAGAAACATGACGCAATACATAAATAAATGCACCACTTAGTTAAACTTGGTTGTTAAGAGCAATATTAAAACGTATAAAATCACTCGGGAAAACAATGGTAAATGTAAATGTAGAGATATGCATTCAGACATTGCTATCTTTCTTTGGCACCGTAAATTGTGAAAAACCATCAAACCCTTTTATTATATAACACTACACTAACTAGACGATAAAAGTAATCATCACCTACAAACTCCACTTAGTCCTTACGCTTAATATAATGACATTCATTACAAATTCGACAAAAGAAGTCACAGAACAGAAAAGTTCCACGTTTCCATGCCTTCTTCAAAAAGAAAAGACTAAATGTAAACAAAAATAGTTATATCGACTCCTTGGAATACTTGTATAATCATGATACATTCTTTTGAATTTTTATTCCTAAATAAAGCGTAACTTTAACTTATTTGAAGAACCACATAATCTTCAATTTATGTTTATCACACCAACGTCTTCATTTTAACAGATTGTTATGATCAAAATGATGTAATTAGATAGTACTTTGTTTATCATTTGGACAGGTTTATATACATTCCAAAAATGTTGAAATATTATCAATAACTGGATTAGTACTTTAGGAATTACTATATCTATTTTCAGGTTTCTTATTTTACCATGTTAACTCAATAAAATATCTCAGTTTTTTACAACATTGTTATAATTCTTAAATACACTTGTCTTGGTAGTGAAAACTAACCTCGAACCTATTTGTACACCTCACTCCTTGAATTAAATTAAAAATCTACATCTTATTACTTTTTAAATGATGACAGCTTACAATCATTAATCGTCAGTGATTAAATGATCACTGGTTAATTAGGTAGTTTCAGTTTTGCTGGTTAACGTATTAGTAAGAGTTCGAGATCAATGTTTTCAATGAAATGAACATGAAAGAAACGATCTAGCGATGACATTCCAGTATTCTTAAGCAATATCAAAGTTTAATCAAAGATGGTAATGTAGACCACTAAAGTGAAAATTACTTATTAAATAATGTAGTCGATACAATAAAATGAGTCAAAGTGGATAATAAGTTACGCGCTTGATAGTCACCTCTGACAAGTTTTAAACAACAAAGAAATAATTGTTCAGTGCTTTTTGTTATTTACTGGCACTTTTGACTTACATCAATAATTGGTATTAATACATCCCAAATAAATAAAACATTGCGAAATCTCAATTCATATAATTTTTCAAAGATTTTTACAGTATTAAACGTTATAATGAATATTATTCGCATTAAATAAAATGCCTTTTGATGAATCAGCTACTTTGTAAATATTTTAAATAAATGAATAATGATGATATAGAAATGATAAAAGTAGTAAGATTATTAAATTCTTGAAGATTTGCTATATCAATTTAATAGTTGTATTCATGAGTTATTTTAAGCTAGACCACCGTGGAAAACCTGGAAGCACTAAATGGATGTTTCGTCTTAGTATGGGACTCATCAGTAGTGCGCGTCCACGATCCTGCCCGAGGGGTCCGAACCTAGGGCATTCGGTCTCGCACGCGAATACTTAGCCTCTAAACCACTGAGCCGTCGTCCAATGGTGTTAATGCGCACTGATGAGTCCCGTACTAGAACGATACGGCCGTCTAGTGCTTCCAGGTTTTCCATGATGGTCTAGCTTTAATTTACTTATGAATTCAACTATTAAATTACTATGATTTCCACAAAGCCCACTTTTGTCTACATTACTTCGTTATTCATAATTGTAGTCAAAAATATAAGTTAATAACACATATTAGACTGTAAACTTTTTAAATGTCAAATATGAAAACGATTCCTTCAACTGTTCGTTCACAATTATTTATTAAATATTCACTTCCAACCGCTTATTATAAAGATTTATTTAATAACTATCTAATATTATTGTATAGTCATTTTTGAAAAATGGCAAATTTTATAAATGTTCAAGTCTAGTACATGTGGATTTACACCATGTTTCATAGCAATGGTAACATGGCAAAGTGAATAAAATTATATTGAAAATAATTGACTAGTTCTTACTAGTTGCTATATAAAGTTCGTCATTCACCTAAGAAAACAAATACTTGTTAGAAAGGTTAAAATAGTGCTTATAGTGACATCTAGTAATCATAGTTTCGCAAAGTTCTATGGAAAATGTTAAGATTTTCTTAACTTTTAGTTGTCATGTTGGTTTTTCGGGATCATAAAATTTTTCTCACTAGTAACTTTCATCAAAAATAAAAATTAGGAACTTATACTAACTGATGACTTGATAAAAACCGGTGTAACAAAACTGTATCCTCAATTCTGATTTAAATTTAATTTTCCAAGTGGTCTCTAGTCTGAGTAAATTCAAATAATAATCCACCATGGTTGCTTTAAAGTGGTTAGAAGCAATCTTTTCGTCTATATTTCGTGTTAGCTAATACTTAACAATAAAATCATCTGGAATTTCAAAAAACTAAAGTTCCCCATGAGATTCATATTCAGGCCACTCATCGTTACAGTCAGAGATATTATGGTTGATTTATTCTAGCAGATAATTTCTGAACTAAAATTTTAATACTAGCGAAAATTATTATCAACAGAAGTTATATGTAGTACTTCATGCTAATAAATTTCTGCCGGCCATTTTGCAATCCAAAGAATATAATGTTCATTAAATAATATGTTCCAACCATTATTATTACTCATACAACCAAATCATAAGAGTTAAAGATGATAAAGGCATAATTAACTGGGTCCTTCAAGTATAAGTAAATAAAATTTGCATGCTAATTAACTTTTCTAACTTTATATATACTGAACTAATCATTTTACTCTAGGTAATTATTCCGGTACGCCTAAAAGGACTGATATCTTAAGAAATAATTAATTTCAATAGTTGAATTCATGAGTCAATTGAAGCTAGACCACCATGGAAAACCTGGAAGCACTGGATGATAGTTTCGTCCTAGTATGTAACTCCTCACAAGTGCGCATCCACGATCCCCCCAGCGAGATTCGAACCCAGGACCTATCAGTCTCGCGCGCAATCACTAAACCATGGTTTTTCATCGTGGTCATGAATTCAACTATTGAAATTACTAAAACCCCCACAAAATCCCTTCTGATAAAACTAATTAATTGTCAAATACTTTGAGGAATCAATTTCTATATCATTATTTAATTAAATGAAAAGCCGTTCTCAGTGCACAACTAAATTATTTCAGAACAAGGTAAACAAAATGATACTAATTACCTCATATACATTCAACCAATAATCTCGGATGAAATATCTATCCAGTACTCTTTATCTATTAACAATCCTTAAATTGATATCTGCAAGTGATTGATCTATCCTATTCTTACATCTATCAGAAAGATAAATGCCTACACATTAGCAACAAGCTCTAAACGTTTAACCAAGACACTAAGATCTATGGGGTCCACTATATCAACCATTGAGAAAAAAACTCAACATACGTTATAGTTACATTAGTTCAGTTTCAATATTCTCATCAGTTGAATATAAAGATTTTTATATATTTCTAAACTATTCCTAGGTTTATATCAATTCTACCGATTATCTTATTCAATGATAAAAATTAATAATTATTAACTACTTATCATTAATATATATATATATATATATTCAGTGTATTATCTTTTTTTCTTTACTTCAAATCAAGATTAATTAGGAAAAATAAAACTTGTTAATTAAACTTGTCATTATTAATTTACTAAAAGATCTTTGATAATTATGGTTTTCTTTTTCGATCTCTTTTATTGATTAACAATTATTCTATCATTCAAAATATACATTCAATGACATAACATAAATGAATATGTTGTATAATGATTCATATCATTGATAATAATTATTACCTAGATTAGTTTTTTTTATTTTAAATGATTAATTGTCTAACTTTTTATTATTTTTGTTTGTTTGTTTATATGTGGATAGATTAATCATCAATCTACATACTTAGGACTACTATGAACTGCCATTAACTTATCAGAGTATATGATAAATGAATTTAGAAAACATTGAACAGTTATACTGTGTTACACCATTTATATATAAATTTTAATTTTCTAAGATAATTCGACTGTATATTAAACAGATGAATAAATAGAAATATCTAATATTTGAATTCATGAGTAGATTAAAGCTAGATCACCATGAAAAACCTGAAAGTATTGGACGACCGTTTAGTTTTAATATAGAACTCCTCAGTAGTGCGTATTCACGATCTCGCCACACAAGATTTGAACCCGGAAACGATAGGTTCTAGATGCCGGTTCAGTGGTCTAGAGGTTAAGCGTTCGTGCGCGAGACCGATGGATCCTGGTTTCGAATCCAGTGAATAGGATCGTGGATGCCCACCTCTGAGGAGTCTCATACTAGCATGAAACGACCGTCCAATGCTTCCAGGTTTTCCATGGTGGTCTAGCTTTAATCTACTCATGAATTCAACCATTATATTGCTAAAATCTCCACAAAACCTCATTCTGGGAATAATATCATTTATTTTAAGTGTATGTAATACGTTTTTTAATCATCGTCTGTATAATTTATTCTAATATTCAACTGTGACAGATGTAATAATATTACGTAGTGTTGTAAAACTATAGCAGTCCGCTGTCTATAAAATTACCCTGGGTCCTAGAAATTATCATGAGAATAAGGACACTAGTAAATCCTCTGATTGAAATTATCGAACTATAGTACTTAAAAATTGAAACTAAGTGTTGAATTTCCAAATGAAGAACTGTCGAAAACTATGAAGAACCGGAACGTTGTTAAACATTTTGATCATGTGAACTGCTAGTTGACAGTTCGATAGCCTTAACGTAAGGCACTCATCATATGACCTAAGATTCTGAGTTTTACCTCTGGTGTGGTTGTAAATGTGTACTACTAAAGGCTGCCATATCAGGACGAAACAGTTGACTGGAGCTTTTTTGACTTCAACTGAAACGTTTATGTGTAAATCTACTGGAAGCATAGTTTAGACTGATATCCGATATTCAATTTCACTGAAAAAATATATCCTTGTTTATTAGAGTAATATATTCCATCTAGTTGAGTTAGTTATATTCATTTTTATTCGAATTTTTTATATTTAGTACGTAAAAAATATCCTTACAATTCATTTGAACAAATCGAATTAAATACGAAGCTTAGAAAACTTTTATCAATATTTTGGAAATTAAATCCTTCTCAGAAAAATCATGATAATTTACACGATCAACATGCACAAAATGATGTGGCATCCAGAGTTCGAGCAAAATACGGAACACAGAATATAAGTCAAGAGAAAGGTAATTATATCAATCATTTGTTGTTACTTTACATGCATCACAGATCAGTTGTTCAGTTAACTGATATATTTATTTATTTTCAGTTAATACAATATTATTAAAAATTCAAAAATTATTTTAAGACGTTTTAAGTAATATCACGATTTATGTTGTCATATTTCATCACTGAATCATATATCTGCTATCATATTCCATTTTTAGCTAAGTTTAACTGCTAATAGCTGTATATGATTTTAAATGAACACTAAAATTAACTGGATTCAAGAAAAATTTCATTTTAGGTTTTTCTTTGCAAAAAATCATTTCTTACACCTTAAAATTTTCTACCTGATCACAGATAATAAGTTTCCGCAGTAGCATTTCCATTTGATGCCACAAATCCATTAAACGATCTATTACTTCCTTTAAGCTTTAAATTTTCACTGTAACATATTTGTTATTATTGAAATTAATCTTTGCTTATGCATTTGTTTCTAAAAATATGGATGACCATAAACAACAAACTTAAACTGAAATTAAAGTTATGATTAGACGAAGCAAAACAGTTAATTTCTAGAAATTCCTAGTATAGTGAATGAGAACACAAGCGGGACAACCAAATGTATTTCAACGCAAAATTACAGAAACTCTAAGTAAAATCTCAAAATCATACAGCAGAAGTCAATCAATCGTTCCTAAGTTCATCGTCCTTTCATTTTCACACCAATCATTTTCTGTTCTTCTTTTCTTCTTTTCAATTTTCTTTACATTCTGCTGCTAGGTATTTCGCTTTTGATTGTTGATACATACTACCTAGATATATAGACATCATTAGCGCACGCCAAAATAGTACCCCTTTTGTAACAAACACGTGTAAATACACAAATATATTGATTATTAATTCAATATTATACCAAATGATTTTTTTCATATCAGCTTGTGACCAACACTTGACAAAACTGAAAATTTTTACAGTAGACTGTTTGCGAACAGCATAATTAATGTTAATGGAATATGCAATCTTTTACTATTTAATCAAGTGCGCAAAATTTGTATATTTCATTGTAGTAGGCTAGTTTTATTAGCAGATATCTGCTAAAAACATTTACTGTATAGCAAAGCCTCACTTTCCTGATGCAAAGCATAAACATAATAAGCGTTAAGGCTTGAAATGGAATTGCTAATCAAAAGTGTACTCGAATATGCAACGTTCTTCCATCAAACAAACAAGAAAAGATGATAACAAATGCTAGCAAACCTGGCAAACCACTCTCTATTAAGGTTATTGTCGTTATTTTGAACATAAGCAAATGGAATGGTTACTTCTTGATTGTCATTTCTTTTCTGGTTATTCGTTCATTTTTCAGTAATTAAATCATATACACTATCTTGAATAAATATTTTCCATAATAATGATTATTTTTTGTATTTTAATATACTTCATCAATCTACCTACTGTTCTACTATCTGTTGCCTGGATATTTAGTACCTAAAATTTAGTTCCTATAAACCAGTTATCGGTTTGAACTCCTATTTCATTCTAGGAACTATATTAATTAATTGACAATACAAAGTGACTAATTATATTAAATTATAACAAAGATTTTAAAATAAAAACAAGTAATTTCAAATAAATATGACCAACAAACATTTAACCATGAATAAAAAACGAACTCAAAAAAAAAAGAAAAAGAAACAGAAAATCTTTTCTTTTAAACTTAATAAACACAGTATATCTTTATTGAATAAAAACACTAAACTTCATTATCAATCAATCTAAATAAAAAGAAAATTTTCTTGAATTTCTATCACTAACGATTTTTACATAAAAAAATATTTTTAACATAAATATGTGAACATTTTTTTTAAAAAACATTTCAATAAATAAATAGATTTAAATAAAAGATTACCTATTAAGTCAATATTATCTAAACTAAATTATCTACTTGTAATGAACAGTTTTTTAAAAAGAATGAAAAAAAATCAAAGATGGTTACTGTTTTAAGACCTTTGGTTTTATTTAGTTAACTAAAATATTATATAAATCGGTTTAGTATATTATTTAAGTAATATATTTATTCATTAAACTTTAACAAATTTACAATAATGATGTAAATCTTAGAACCTGGACAAATGATAATATAATAATTTTTATTAAAATATTACAGTTTCAAATTATTCTATTAATTTATCAGTAATAATTAACCATACTTTTTTTGTCACTGAAAAAATTAAATCAGTTGTGTCGTTGGCAAGAAGCATCTTTTGTTCGTTATTGGACTTTTTTCGTTTTTTTTTTTTTTTTAGTTTTAAAACATACACACACATAATTACGCACAAAAAAATAAACAGAAAATCGCTTGAATATATATTGTATTTTAACAACTGTTTTAAAATGATAAAATCTTTGTCATTGTGTGTGTGTGAGGGAGGATGAAACAGTTTACTTTTTTAAAACAAAATAATCATAAAAACAATCAGAATAATCTAATAAATAAGATTTGGCATATGTTTTTCATATGTTTTATTCTTTACGATATTAATTCAACAAGAACAAAAAAAATCTTGTACGTGGTTAATAACAATATAACTAAATTACATCAAAATAGATATTAATTTTACTAAATAAAGTCAATGGAAAAATGATATTGACTTTTGTTCTGTTTTTATTAATGAAAAATAGTCTTTTAAAATGTAACATAAATCCTGTGGTTTGTTTAAGTTTTTTGACGATGTTATATATCAGAAAGAATTTTGTGAATAATAAAGTAATTTTAATAGTTGAGATCATGAGTCATTTGAAGTTAGATCATCATGGCAAACCTGGAAGCAATGAACAGTTATTTCGTTCTATTGCGGGACTCCTCAACAGTGCGTATCCACGATCCCACCTCATGTGGTTCGAACCCAGAACGTAGCAGTCTCGCGTGCTAAAACTTAACCTCTAGACCACTGAGCCGGATCTGTTGTGAGATAGTAACTCACTGAAGACGAAATTGGATGTGTCGGTTCCTTTCGTGCATTGGTTGAAGTTAGATATTAACGCCATTGGATGCCGGTTCATGATCTCAACTATTAATTTATCATTAAACAGATTAGTTTTCAAGGGTTTGTGGTGAAAATGATTGTCCAAATAGACGAAATCCTAAAATTATTTCAGTAATTATTAGATACACTTTGATTAATTAACGGCTCCACGATTAACCGACCAAAGTGACGAACACTAACGAGTCAACTAAATGGTCTATAGCACAGTAATTCGTGGACAGAACTGAAGTTTTAAAAAAAAGAAGTATACGCTTTACATTTAACAGCTTAATAATTTCATTTTCACCATATGATTTGAATGTCCTGTTATTTATGCGTTATGCATGTTCCTCATTGTAGACCATTCAAACTATATTACAATAAACCAATCAACTTCAGCTTTTAGTGAGTTGTTAACTGATGTCAGTTCACGATAGAAATCATCGTCAGGTAACATTGAATTGGTATTCATTGGACTACTTAAGTTCCTCTCATAAAGTTTTGAACCTGTGAAAATTGATTCAACAACTCATGTTTATTTTATATTTTTATTTGATATAGATCATGAACTTAAATCAATGGATATTATCAATAAACATTTCTCCAAAGAAAATGAAGTGAAATTCAACTTATTGGCAACACAAAATCCTCGTATGAGAGCTCGGACTGTGAAAAATTCCAACTCATACTTATGTGTTTCACAGATATTTTTGTATTTTTCAATAATTTTGCAAATAATTTTGGCGGTTAAATAAATTATTTTTAAAAATTAGTTATATCAAATTAAATAAAATAAACTACAAAAAAATAAATATAAACACCCTTTTCAAAGTTTTTATCCAATGAATCATGCTTTTATAAACAAAGCAATTAAGATAATAAAACACATAAAAGAACAGCACCTTCTAATATGTATTTGTATTCAAAATATTATGTACATAAATAAGAACAAAACTCTAAAAATAAAATATACCTTTCATTATATTGTCTCACCAGTTTCGTTTCATGTCACCGTTATTTGTTTGCTTGATTTCAACTTCCTTACATAATCATAAAAATAAACAATTAAAATCATAATGAATTTCTTTCCAAGGAATTATTCAATTGTCCACATACAGATTTATTTAAGATATAATTAATAAAAGAAATTATTTTCTTTACCAGATCATTAAGTGAAATACTAACTTGTCACAATTTTATGCTCTAGTTTGTTTGTTTTTTTTTGTGGCTAAACAAGTGAACATATTTGTCTATAAAACATATAATCATTTAAGATTAATGATTGTCTTTTGTGTATATAAACAAGTTTAAAAAAGATTATATATTAACTTTCTTATTCAGATATATATATATATATATATATATTCGTCTAAAGTGATTTCCATTAATTAATTAATTAGTAGTGTTAAATTGTTAAATGTTTCTATCCGAAATACCTCATTGTGTTTTTAATTTCTACTAATTGAGTAGAATTTTTTCAATCATAAATAAAGTATGATAAATTGTAAGTATCATTACCAAAGTTTGACTTGATAATTTTAAATAGATAGATAGATTTCAATGAATAGAAAGCATTAGATTTTTTGACGTTTCGTGACTTATTGTAAGCCAATTCTTTAGAGAATACTCATCTTGGTATTTGTAATATATATATATATATATATATATATATATATATATATATATATATATATAGTTTCGATGCTGTTCAATGTAAATTGTATGATCATTATTTAACATGTATGTAAACAAGTAAACTCTTTTATCTTACAATATATATAAGCTATTATTTCCAATTTGGATTCAAGCTACTTATTATGTACCTGTCAATAAAGTTACTAAATTCATATTTGACGATGTCAATACTTGATGTTCTTTCATTTTTGTAATAATATTTATAGATTATAATATTTTCTTATGATTCAACTCAATAGACAACCTATTTCAAACTAATCATATCACCTAGCATGAAGAAGAAAAGAAAACTGGAAAATCTTGCAAAAGTACTTTTGTTTAATTTACTTGTTGAATCCTCTTTTATCTTATTTTTTTCTTGTAAATCCCCCCATAAGTATACACATGATTAAAAAGACAAATTACGTACTCAGTTATAATAAGTAAATCCATAAACGGAAATTTTATGGAAAAAATATATTTTCATCAAAATTTCAATTAAATTAAACTTTAATTACCAAATATTCACAATAAATCAAATCCATGAGTAAATGATCATGTAAGGGAAACATAAATGAAAAATTTTAAAAATCCCTTTTTAAGTAATAAACGATTTCAGGTTGAATTCGTCTGCTTATATAATTACTTTTCTTAAGCCCAATATAATTAAATGTAAAAAATATAAGATGAAAGGACTAAATCAAATAAATCTCTATGTATAACTGTCTTATAATAGTGATTAATACGTTTAATTTAAAGGATAACAGTGGCATCTATTTGATAAGTCGAGAAAAAGGACAGAAAACATGTCGGTTATTTCGCTGCTATTTTACATTTAAAAATTCAAAATATTACCTTATCTTTTTTAAAAGAAAACACATTTCAAATCACACTGTTCTGTTGAACGGTAAACTAAATCTGATACTAACATACTTGCTTTCCGAACTCAAGTTCAATCGGCTAATTTAATACGTAAAGGAAAGATGGGTACAGAGCTTTAGTTAATTACCCTGAATCTAATATATGAACAAATTTATTCAATATTATATACGTTTATCTTCTTCACAAAATCAGGGCAGATTTTAAGTTAATAGCCTTTATACATTCTCCTGGAAAATAAAGCCAAGTCCTAGTCAATAGTACACACACGCCTGTATCTTTATTTTATCATGTAGCTTTGAGTTAATACAACTGATTGACCAAGCTCATTACACTTTATATACATCATATAATGAACTATATATTTTTAGAGACGAAATTTACTTCCATATACGAAGAGATAAAAAAAAGAGGATGACAGTCATGATTTAAAAAAATAAAGAACATAATTTATCGAATAAAAATCGAATGAAAAATTTATGATAAACAAATAAATTATTGATAAATAAAAGGGAAATTGAAATTTATGCGCGCGTATGTGTGAATAGGTAAATTAGTTACTAATATAACATTTTTTTTAAAAATTGTTTCCTATTTGTTATCTAAACTATAAAGTAAATATTATTCTAAGAAAAAACCAATGAAGTGAAATATAAAAATCAATAAAACAGAACTTATTACAAGTCCCAAGATATATTTATATGCAATTACCTTCAAATCTACCAGTTCCAAGTTGAAATTGAATAGTTCAATGGTTTGTCCATCTACATTTGATCGATTATTTTCACAATATTTAGGCGCCGAGTTGATATGAGTTATTAAAGAGGAAGAATGTATATTCTTCCTCTTTAACGGCTATTTTACTTAAAATTATGGAACAAAGTAGTAAGAAATTATTTTATAATTTTATCTGGAATACTTCTTACCATGAATATTTTTCCAGTTTGTAAATCAAAACCTTGTCTAATTTTTCATATACAGTATACTGAAATCACTCCTTAAACATACGCTTCAAATGAAATAAATTCCTTTGCTAAGTAAGTATCGTCAATAAATATACATCTGCATTAGAAATCTATTTACATTACGGTACAGTTTTTTAAAATCATCTATAAAAATTCAAAAGAAACAGTATTATCCACCAGATGAATGGGACTCAACTTAAAAAATAATCAGAAACAACAGTTTAGCATTTTGTTTAATTTCTAGAGGTTTGGATTAACCCGCAGTTGATACGTTGAATGAATTTTGATTGGTGTTAGTTGACTTGTGTACAGAATGTGTAGAATGCCTGAATGTAGCCATTATGTCATACTTTTATTCAGAATAGATAGAATGTAGCTAGAAGTGATAAATATAGATACATCACATTCCCCCAACATTGTCGATTACTTTATATTATATCTCCATAATATACTTAAACATGAATAAGACTGTAAGCAACTGAAAAGAATCCATGGAATATAATATTCTCCCTTAATTGTTCTCGCTTTGTTCATATTTGGATAAATTGGACTGGAAAGTAAATGACATAAGTTAAAAAGAAACCTAATGAATATATGCAATTTACAATATCGACAGATTGAATGCTTCAACATATAATTATAATCATGTTACTGAGTTGTAAATTTCCTGTTTTCTAAGAAGCACACAATTGATAACCATTTAAAAGCCGCGTAATAAAGACCCTAGTGTTACTTCTAATATAGCATTTACTATGACAAATATCTTTCAGACAAAGTTTGACACTTCCTCAGTAACACCTTTCAATGTTTGTTCTGTTATGTCTTAACAACCAGTTTGCGATAATCTCTTCACAATTCAAGTAAATTCTAAAATCCATTAGTAGAATGTTTTGCCTGTATAGATAACATTAAAATACTCTGTCTTGTTTTTTTTTTGTTGTTCAGTCTTATGAGAAAAAATATGAATATTTTGAGATATGGTAAAATGTTATTTTTTTATGCATAGCAACTAAAAAAATGTTCCGAACACTTTTTTCTTACATCTATGTAAAAACTATATAATATAAAATCATTCAAACGTATAACATAACCATTACTAAAAGTCACAATGATTCGTCTAAAATAAAATGATCTTTTTTAACTTTATTTTTTAAATACTCAAAACTAATATCCGCATTCTGAGTGGCAAATTTTATAACTAAAATAAAAAAACACTTTGATTTTAGCAAAATTAATAAAAGTAAGTTCAGACATAATGTAAAACTAATTAGATTAAATTGTAAAACAAATGAAAACTATATTCTCATGAGGAGTTTGTGACAACTATTAGGTTTTATATTGTACATAACCAAATGATTTTAGTTAGACAACTATTAAATACCAGTAAGCAACCACTAACTGAAGTTAAAAATTTGAACAACTAGATGCTAACCCAATGGTATAAAAGTTGAAAAGCTGCCTCAAGCCCTAACGGTTCTAAGTTTGATTTATAATTAGGCCGTCGATGGGAACTTTGGAAGAGTCTCACTCTTTGATGATACACCCGTGCAGTGCTTCTTGGTTTTCAGTATTTGTTTAATTAATGTTAAGTCATCATGTAAAGTATGGAAAGCATGATTGTATATTTTTAATTTTATTGAGTCACAAAATATGTTGAACAACTAGGAAAGTGGAAGTTTATCTCGATTAAATATGTAGAACTATACTACTTAAAAGAACCGCAAGTTAGCGTATATATATAGTGCTTTCTAGTCGTTAGTGGCATTTTAATCTCATCATTCTGTTCCGTTCATGATTTCTAGCACAATAATTAAGTATCATTACGGTCTATACATGTAGCTATAAGACAATACTTCGAACGTACATAATATGTTGACTTATTAAAAGTGTTCGTTATCCTGATCGAATATAATTTGTTAGGTCCCGATAAACATAATGAATGGTAACTTTGGGATCCATTCATGGATCAATACTAAACGCATATTTCTATCGTATAACTGTTAAATAACTAAACTATTCATATTTGTATTATTATAAGCTTTATTTAAACCTATGAACCATTATTATACGTTTTACCATTCTTGAATTATGCCCTGTCTATTAGTCACTACCTCCCACATTCACAGCCACATTTGGCCGAATTTTTTACAAATATTATTTTCTATTTTATGGTACGTTGTAGTCTGTTTGATTGGTATGTAAACCAAGTGTGTTTGAAATACATGATTCATATTGCAGAGGCTGAGATTGGTGTTCTGGACTCAACTGACTGAGCAAGGCGAAAAGCAGGATCAATCAGGACTCTTAGCTGCTCGCATATGTTTTACGCGTCCTTGGTCCGATCGACAATTCATTGTTCTCTGATTGGTGGTATCGTTACGTTATACATTAACAGTGCACTCAGGCCACAAGTTATAACACAATTACATAAAAAATGTCGTTAAAAATATTTGATAATGTACAATAACATTATTTCATAGTATTAATCCATTATCTTACAAACAATAAAGACTGTATTATTCCTCGACTAAATTATCTATTTCTGGAAGCATTTTAAATGACATCACAAAAGGTTTAGCAACTTAAACAAAGTCATTAGAAATTTGTTTATTTCGTTTTTTTTATGATGAGATGGTATAAGTTAAACACAGAGTACTGGAACAAATGTATTAGGATTTATTTAACTTATTCAACGAACAATGCCGTATAATCAAACTACTATACAACTGTTCTTGT